GACGATGGCCTAGTTTCGCAATCAACACTTTGTGATGCGGCGTCAGTTCTACATGACCTGCGTCATCATTTATCCCAATTCCGAGATTTTAACAAACATTTTGTTTATTGAAAATTCTGCCATAAAAGTTTCAAAAACACTGGCCTGCAAAACTATGTATCACACTTTTAAAATTGATCTAACTTTTTAAGTACACAAGATAGATTTTCGAAATGAAAAGGATTTGAATAAGTGTTTAATTTAATTAAGTACCACAGTTTCGAGGAAGCTGCAAATTTTGCTATAAAAATATTTTTTTAATCTCTATCTTCTATAGAAAAAAATCTATTTTAAAAATTAATCAGTACTAAGTTTTGCAGGCCAGTGTAGTTCGTTATTATATAAATAAAAATACGAGTATATATTGTCGCAAAAACTTTTGTACGAAAACTTCTGTTTGGAGTGACTTCTATTTGTCATGGTAGCGATTTACACGACAACATTGCCACGTGGTTAGCCTCAGGTAAGAAGGGACGCGCGCAGGGGTCGAACAGCTGTTCACGCGCCTACTAGAGGAACTCACTCGAAAGAGAACTCACGCAAACAACTCACACGTATGTTGCTTTCTATTATATCTGTTCAAAAGTTGAATTCACAGATTATAACTAATCTCTTTTAACCGATTTCAATGAAAAAGTTTTAGTCGTCTGCGTTCGTTGAAATTTTCGTTTATTATAAACCGATTTTCAAAAATATTTTTAAAGGTTGTGCTCCTGAGGTGGATATATATCCTCCAAGTCAGGATCTGATTTTAAGATCCTAGGGAAATCCAAAAAACTCTTCCTACGTACATCCCACTTTCCTACTACATAAATACATATTATAAATTCGTAAGTTTGTATGGATGTTTGTTACTCTTTCACGCATAAACTACTAAACGGATTTTAATGAAATTTGGTACGCATATGTTTTATGACCTGGATTGAGACTTAAGATACATTTTATCCCGGAAAAATGTTAGGTTCCTGAGGAACTTTCAAAAAAACTAAAGTTAACGTGGACGAAGTCGTAATCGGTACTACCGTCTGCCTCTGACTGGTCGCGTATTTATTATTATAGAAACTCTTTTTTTTCTTTTTGCTCTCGGAAAATGGCATCTGATTAATTAGAATTGGTTGAACCAAACCTAATCAATATAAGTATATCACGGTCTACGATACGATTACTTTAACTTGGTTGCAAAGCCATTTATGTTTGTCATCATAATTAATTAAAACCAGGTCGATATTGATACCAGTCATAGCTGAAAACCGCTTATTTCTTCATAACTTCCGAATTATGGATTTATTAACTAAAACAAAAACCTACTTCCTTAAAATAAAATCATTAGAGAAAAAAACATTCTAATTCTTTATTACATCTAAAGTATTATTATCATTATAATTATAGCCTTTTATTTCCTTTATAAATATACATGTCATTCATAAATGCAAATAAAATATCAGGTCAATTAATTAATTTGATAACAAAGATGGCAAAAACGATTTTAAAAAAATTGATAATTCTTTTTTCTTTTTATTAAGGACCCCATAGTCAGTAAAGGCCTCTTTCATTTTTCTCCAAGTTTTTCTATCTTTGGCCTTGGTGATTCAGTCTCTACCACCCTCGTCGTTAATTTCATCTATCCATCTTTATTTTGGTCTACCTCTATTTCTTTTGTGTCGAAGTCCTTTCCAAGTAGTCACTTTATAAGTCCATTTATTATTGTTCATACGTGCAATGTGTCCAGCCCATCTCCATTTAAATTTATTTCAGTGGTCCAAAGCATCAATAACATCTTATCGTTCCCTATATCTTTATTTCTTATTCTGTTTTTTATTTTTATATTTAGCATATTAGGTACTTTTGATATACTCGTATTTTATTTTTGATGTATTTATTTTATATCCTTTGACACCCGTAGGTTCGATTTTGCAATTAACATCAATCTATCACTTTTTTCTTGAGTTTTACAGGAAGATTTGACTTCATAATTTCTTTGTTACTCCAGAACTTATTCCATGTAATGTTTATCTATATGTCTATTTACTTCATCTTGATGTCTGGTCGTTGAGTATGATATTTGCTTGCCCAAATATATTCTAATGAAATATTATGGACCTTACTCAGTCTTGTTTGGTGATAAGTCATAACTTTCGTCTTTGTCGTATTTAATTTTAGTCCGATTTCTCTACTAACTTTATCCAGTTCATTAATATTTTTTTCCAGTTAAATTAGCGTTTCTGAGAAACGTATGATGTCATCTGTGAATTTAAGGTTGCTTAAGCAGTCCCCGTTTATAATGATACCTCTTCTTTTCCAATCCAATTTATTGATTATGCTTTGGAGTATAGTTACAAAGATCCTTGTCGTACACCTCTCTGAATGTTTGTTTTTTGACCCTTTTTTCCATTTTTAAACAACTTACACTTTTACTATATATACCTTTTAAAATCACAATCATTTCTGAAGGTACATCGCATTAATTTAGAGCCTTTGCATAATCGATAAAAGTCAGGTAGAGCGGGTGTTAGTGTTCGAGAGATCTAAAGTATATTTAAAATAATATAAGTAATACCTATTTAGGAGTCACTATTAGTATGTATGTATATATATATATATATATATGCTAATTATGATATTGAGCTTATGGAGAGTTCATTTGTGCATTTACTGCATTTTTGTATGCAATAAAATTAAATAAGGAATTATTTTTTAATGAAACTAATTGGTATTTTATCAAAACAAATCAAATTAAAACTAATAAAAAGTACACTTACAGCGGCATAATTGGATACTAGACTTAAAGAAAAAACTAGTTTATTATATTTAAAAACATGTAATGGCGAAAGAATTCAAAATAAATTGGAAGTTAATGAAAAATTCATGGCATAATTTCGATATCACCGATAATATATTTTTAATGACGGCGACGACCCATGGTAGGCGAGCGGTAGTATCGATCTCGTAAAATACGCCGGATGGCGGGAAGGTCGCCGGTGTGACTGGGGTGAATACACTTTTTCACTATATAGGACAAGCTTTTAAAAAAAAATTTAAAAAAGCAACCCTTTGCTACACGAGCAAAGTTTTTTTATATTTACTTTATTAAATAAAGTTAATAAAATAAATATAGTTTTCTATTCAGTTTTACTCAAATATTTCCGTATAATTATGTTTACATCACATATAAATAATTAACACAACTTTACGCCATATTATTATAACAATATTATTTACTTTATAATATGTTCTATGTACATGAAGGCTAATTTTATTAATATTTAGCCTTAAAGTATACAGATCGTCCCACGGCAATGCCATACGGAGAGAAAGTATATTTAATAGTGAAGATTTAAAGGATATTTAACTGAAAAAAGATAATATTTTATTTTTAATAATAAAAAGAAATGCGTTCACAGATTTTTGTAAAAAAAAGCCTGCCACAAGCGTTAATCCAGATTCGAAAAATGTAAAAAAAAACATATGACGTATTCTATAATAATCGTCGCAAGGGTTAATTATAAGGATTATTTTTTCCTAAATAACATAGCATTTTGAATAAAAGGAGGACGAACGCAGTTCTACTTGTTATCAGAAAAAAAATGATATCTTCTTGCAGTTAAATATCCTAACTTCACTATTTAATATACATTCCCTCCGTTTAGTATTGCCACAGGACGTTCTGTATAGAACAAAATATTGTTAACTTTTAAAATACCTCATCATTACTATAGTGGCTTGCTCTGCTTCCTATTTATCATCGGATCAGTAATAATCTGAAATGCCTTTAGTTTAAAATAAACAGTGTATATATATATATTTCATTAACTACCTATAAGAGAAAGAGAGACAAGAAATGTGCGCGCGCACTACTTTCTCTTGCTTATACACCCCACTGAACTCCCCGTTCGCCTCGCCCGATCACACTTTTCGTAACGCATTCGCCAGCTTACTCACCACGTCAAGCGTACGTAAAGAAGCTTCACTTCAACAGGTTTTACCGCTAGAATGGGAGCCAGTCTGGAGAAGTAACCTCCACCTTACAAAAAAAACATAGTAAAATAACACTATCTACCTTTAGGTGGTGTTGTGTTTCTTTCGGTGAGTAAGGATCCAGGGCTCTGCTCCAAGGTAGGAGATTAAGTCAGCGTAGACTTTTTTGGTATCACAAGTGTCTATAAGCTATGGTGGCCGCTTACTATCAGCCGGTTACATGCTTGTTTGCCTTTGCCACCCTTTTAACATAAAAAAACTCTGATGTAAAATGACATTAAATTAACAAACCTTTAATTAAAACCGGCTAATTGCGAGTCGGGCTCGTGCAAGAAGGGTTCCGTGCCATTACTAATACAACATTAGACATATTATTATAATATCGAGCAAAAAATCACATCTGATGTATGAGAGATCGCGACAAACAACGGAAAGAAAATCATTCGTTTGTTTTCGCCACAATTTAAAAAGTCTATTATGAATTGACATTTTCAGTATTTGTTGTTTAAATATAGCATAATAATATGGGACATCATATACCAAAATTTTCACACTCTTAACTAGTTCCGATTTGAAATGACTCCGTGATAAAATGGTCTAAAAATTACAACTTCGATGGTCCATAAAACATATATTAATATCCTACTTATGTCACTGCTGGGGTAAAAAAAATAAAAAAACAATGTCTTCTTTTTATGTATGGAACCTCCCATTAAAAATAATTTAATTGAATTTTTAACCAAACATTCGGTTTTGGGCAAACATTCTACATAAAATACCAAAATATCAGTTTAGTAACTCGTTCCGTTTACGATCTAGATACCCGTGACAAACGGACAGACGGACAGACAGACGACAAAGTGACAGCAATAGGATCTCGTTTTTACCCTTTGGGTACGGAACCCTAACAAAAAGGACGCAGGTGATGCGAATTTTTACTCACCCTAGCCTCAGTGACCGGCGCTAGTGTAGTGTAGTTTACAATACCGCTTATACAGGTGTAGTATAAGCACATCGCGACCGGAACATGGCATGCCATGCAGTCGCGCCGGTGCCTCTGCAGAACAACAGCTGCACTGAACTACTGTTCCAATACCAAAATGTTTGTTGAGTTCCAATTTTAAATGCAAAATTGACGATGTTTATTTTTTTTATAATAACTGAAACATGTGCAACCACGTGGTGATGATTTCTTTGGATCCATCTGAGTCGAGTAAGTTAAACTTCAAGCAAATAAAAGTTCATACATTTTATTATGAATAAATCGTGTAAAATAAATCTGGTACAGAATTTAATAGGCTAAATTTTAATTTTAATTAATTGCTCAGGAAATTAAACAAAAACGCGGATTTACATATTATTACGTGACCGTTAAATTTATTTCATATTTTAATAAAGAGGTAAGTACATATTTAATTTTTAAACACAATTTTGGCATTTTTTATCACTATTCAGTTTATCACGTACCTTGTCCTACTTAAAAAGTACTGCATTAGGTATTTGTTTTGGTGGAACAACGATGGAAGTCATCGAAATTCAAATAATTAATATAAAAAAGTTTTTGTAAATTATAATGTAAACAATCTCTTTCCTACATACATAAGTACCTACTTAGAATTTGTTCATAGGCTTTACAGATAAAATCTTATTTATATGTCGCCAAGCATAAAATACTAATAAGATATGGCCTCACAATAGGTAAGCTCTGCACTTGTTATTTTTTTGCAACTGCAAAAACTAACTTTGCCGAATTTTAATCAGATGTAAACCATCTGATATGTTTTGTTTGTTTGTTTATACAAATTAATTCTTTAATTAAATTCTTTACCATCTTTCTTGAATTAATCCATATTTATGCATTCCAATATGATAAATGCGAAAGTATGTCTGACTGTTACCTCTTCTCGCTTAAACCACATAACCGATTTAAATGAAATTTGATATAGAGATAGTTTCGAGTCCCGGGAAAAGACATAGAATAGTTTTGATGCTAGGGCACTTCTTTTAAGGGGATGAAAGAGTGGTGGAAGTTTATGTTAAACCATATCTTCTACGCATATGAAGTCGCGAGCAGGCACTAGTCTTTTATATTTTACGAGCTTATTGTTCTTATCGGAAAATTATGAAAATAAAAGAACGCTTTCCGCTATGGCACTTTTTTAATATAAAACTTTAATTTCACCTGTGATAGCTATTATATTATTACGTATTGCAAATAAAAATACCGATAAGATATAATGTGTGAGTGTTTTGGATAGTTCTTCAAGGACCCTTTTTGGCGGTAACATACATGTTATTCCTATCTGTATACAATTGTGATAAAGAATGAGGGACATTTATTATATTAGATTTTAAAATAATTTTTAAAGGTCGGAATCGGGAGTAAAAACGCTATTCTTCGGGTGTCACACTATACGCGCTTGAAAAAAACCTTTAATAACTTCTGGGCCTGCACAGCTTTACGTATGTTTTGTAAGTCAAAATAATTGTATTTAAACAATTGATTTAATGCCGAAAATAAAAAAGTGGGGTCAATTGAAAAAGATAGAGTGCATTTGTCACACGTTTTAGCAATTTTGTGAGCTTAAACGGTTCATATCTTTGAATAGTGCCGATATATAGCCACAAGTTTTAGCAGCGCGAATACTCAGTTGTACCCAGCATCTCTGGAGGACGAACTTACTGTTCGTCGATATGCTATAAATAAATAATCGGTAAATTATTCTTCAAAAATTCCTAACAAGAGCAAACTATTTTCGCGGTCACGCTATACATAGTAAAAAAAAAAGTTTTCGGAGTTCACGCCATACTTTATCAATAACTTAAGTCGTCGAGATTGTTTATATGTATACTATGCTTGGATAAGTCTATAAATACGACAAATATATTTGAATATGTAAAATATCGTCAATTTCGTGATAGACTTTCGTGGCGATGTGCCCACAAAAATGGTTGACCATGGTATAGTGAAAATTAATTTTAGCTTTAAAAATACCTGTCATTGCTTATTCTCTTGTCTGTTTCTACTATATACACACATAAATAGTAATACAACGAATTATTTTCAGAAATGCTAAAAATACAGTGATTTTCTGCCGTTAATTTAATATTGAATAAATCTTTTTTCAACCGTAGGAAACCAGAGTTGGCACTATTTTCCAGTATTTGCAGTTACTCTACGCATTATCGGACTAGCAGAGGATGATTTTAGCTGAAATTGATTCTTATTTAGGTAGCGGCAAGTTCGTTTCGTAACTTTCGTGGACACAAAAATTTAATAACTACAAGGTATTACTTTGGTATTTTCTAAAAACTCAATATGAAATTTCACCTCGAAAGTTGCGTGGAGAACGCTTTTCAAAGAATTACTCTTCTATGCAAAAAAACACATTAGATATATCCGCAATAACAGCGATATTATTCACAGTAAAAAAATAATTGAGTTCACTTAACAGCCAAAACTATTTTTGTAACACAAATTAGAAAATATTCAACTAAACACGTACAGTGGTATCATCTAGGTATATTTTGGCTGTCCCTGACATATCTAGAATAATAAGAAGTTGTCATCGACAAAATTGAACATTTAACACTCGCAGTCAATAGTTTTAAATTAGAAAACAATTTATCCTGATTAGCGTTTAGGCCAATGTATACAACTATCATGAATTATAACTATTAAGCTCCTAGAAATATAACTGCCACATACCATTTTTTTAATATTATATTGATGATGTTGCTAGATGATTAAATGTAAAGAAAATTTTACTAGGAAAAAAATACAGTCGGTCCAGCTTTCAGGCTATCCGAGCAGATTTTTTTAGATCATCAAAAGCCTTATGGATTTTTGACTACAGGTTCTTGCAAACTAAACTCTTTTGCAAAAAAAACGGGAACTTTACTCTTTTTCTCTACTTCAATGAATATTACAAGAAAGAGGTTTTATTAATTTGACGATGTAATGGCATGTTATTTTAAGCATCCTGGCATGATTCTTAACATTGTAAATTAAAATTTTGAAATTGGAAAAAGAAAAATAATGATTATTGTAGATTACTGCAAAGTTGCTTTACTAATGGCGCGAATAACTGAAACGATTTTTTACTGATTACTAAAATTTGAAAAGTTTTTTGAAGGTATATTTTAATTTTTTCTAAGCTTTTAACTGCTGGACGTTTTTGTAACTGTTTTGGATATTTTCTACAAATTAAACGATTTAATCTTTCTTTTTACATTAAATTCCACTTTCTGATATGAGTGATAAATAAGTGTCGGTAAAATGATAGCCGTATTCGAAGAAGAATAATTATTAATTATAATAATTAATTAACTGACATCGACTTTAAAACGTTTAAATTTCCTTAGTTGCCCCTTTTTTTGCAAAATCCTACACAGTATTTTCTTAAATCTTTGAAAAGTCTGCTCGATAATTCAATGAATCTTTTCAATTTCCTTCACGTATTTTTTAACTTAATATTTTTTTAAATAACTGTAATGGATATTTTATAATATCGTAAGTGGGATTGTATCTTACAGAATCGACATGCAGTTCAGCTTTATGAGTGGGTGATAACCCAGGAGGAATAGTGGAATATAAGTACCGTATTTACAAGGGCAATAGTATTGCTACTTGCATAATACATACTTACTGACAAATTAATTGAAAGCCTATTCGAGACTTATATGCCAGATAAACTCAAAAAAAAAGGTTTTACAGGTCTAATAGGAAACAAAATATCATCAAGATTTACCTCTTATTCGAAAATAACGCTACTTTTATGACAGAGAAGTATCTGAAACTTTATCAAGAGCTGATGTAACAGGCTCTGAATCGAATATTATTTAGTTTAGTATTATTTTAAGCGTTTATTCTAAGTTTATTCATTTAAATGTACCTACTCAATCAGAACTGAAACTGAAACTTTATCAAGAGCTGATGTAACTGGCTCTGAATCGAATATTATTTTAAGCGTTTATTCTAAGTTTATTAGTTTCACCTACTGAATCAGAACACTGTATTGGTTGTTAGCGCCTAAAATGGTCAAAATAATTATGTAAACAAAATATTTAATTGATGGCCGCTAACCACACATACGTCCTTGAATATGAGCTTGAACGAAAAATAAATGAATATGCTCGTCTCATTATAACACAATTAATAACATTGACACAAAGTGACCTTTAAACCTGAATTCAGCGTTAATTATTTCATCATGTACAAAAACAAAAATGTACGCGTAAAATCGTGATTGACTGGAATTGCATTATAAGAAAATGCTCTTAAAATTCCCCATTTAGGTAGGTATAATTAAATAATGAGTATATTTCGACGATACTTTTAAATGTATTCCATACCTAAATATAATAACGTGCTTATTTATTGTTCAAAATTACACAGAAACTAAAAAAAGTAGGTACAATAACATTTTATAAAAGTGATATTTAAATAGTTTAAAGAAATCATAATTTCTTGCCTACCTTGGGACCTTCGGACCAATGGCAGTAATGTTATTTGAATTCCAACTACGCGAATCATGATTTAACTTTTCTTTATTGTCAAGCAAATCTGTATTGATATTCAACCAGCTAAAATAAAACCGGCAATTTAATAATTTTATTGTCTTTAGTCATCCGTGAAAATTTTAACTGTCTAGCTATCACGGTTCATAAGACACAGTCTGGTGACAGACAGACAGACGGACAGGTGGAGTCTTAGTAATAGGGTCCCTTTTTTACCCTTTAGATACGGAACCCTAAAAAAAAGTGCTGCTAACGAATATCGACTACTTATAGTGCTTGAAACAAATTCAATTTAAACAAATAACTCTCAATAATTACTACTATTAAAATGCTTTGATCTACAAATTGTTTGTAAATTAATATTGGCTTCTGGCTGCTTAATGTACCGAAAAATTAATAAATGAAATAGTCACATCAACAAACACAATTCAGTTAAGAATCCAAAAAGAATCCGACACTTATCACGAAAACAATATAAATATTTCCAACACCAATTAGCCTAGCCCCAAAGTAAGCACTGTAAGGCTTGTGTTATGGGATGCTAGGGTAACGGATAGAATACATATACTGTACATATATCAGTATATTTATATAGAAATACATATTAAACATCCATGACTGGAGTACAAATGCTCGTATTCATCACACAAACATCTGCCCCCACCGGGATTCGAACCCGGGACCTCTCGAGTC